GTACACTTCGTACTCTCTCTCTCTCTTCTCTCTCTCTCTCTCTCTCTCTCTTTCTCTCTCTATCTTACTCATACACAAAACTGCTCCTGACCACAAACCTTTTCAAAAACTGGTGACCTTTCCTCCTATCATTCTCATTCCCACACTGTTACTAATGAAAAAACAACATTTTTAGCAGAACTGCCTTGCTAAAGTGTCTTTAAGTGGGGAAAAATAAATAATGTGGAGGTGTCTCTCACCGCTGCGTGGTCTGGGTTCCTTCAAGAGTTGTTATTGAAATTAATTTGATGACATAGTTGGAGGGCAGGTTGCATTTTGACAGTTAGTTTCATTTAGGAATCTCCATACCCAAGAAATTCCATTGGCTTTCCAGATTGGAGACTGATAAGCCCCCACAATCTTTTTAGTAAGAGCCCATGAAGAACCTAAAGTCTTGACCTCCAGAAATAAATAAATCATCAATTTCGCAGATTGATGATCTGAATCATTTGATTGCTTTATTGTTAGCATATTGAAACTCCCAGGTTGATTTTGGATGGCTTTGGTTGTGTGCATGTCTGTTGTGGTTTTGTTCATCTTCCACTTTTGATTAGCGTTCTATATACTGAGTGGAACAGAACGAATATATGAACCGAACTGAATGAATATATGATTACAGCATACATGATACCATGGTTCTCTCTGTACTATTTCAGGGCCGACGTTGCACCCTTGGGTGCATCTAATAATTGATACCGTGTTTTAATATTTGTGATTCCCTTTACATGTGGAAGGAAAATAAAACTATTTGCATGCTGCATAATCACATTGTTCTACGTCTTTTTAATTTTGGCTTTCAGAGGAAATACCTCTGAAGGAAGCCAAGGATTTGTGCTTTGGCTGATGCTATAAGAAATGTTTAAATACATTTCTGTTCTTTAACAGCCATGTGCTGGCAGCTGTGTATCATTTTTTTGTTACAAGAAGTCTTGCATTCAAATAGCAGATTAGTTCAGAGGTGTTCAGCCACTTCATTTTTCTTGGATTCCTTGCATGATAAAAGCAAATCCTAGATTCCTTGAGCTAATCCATCTTTAAGTTTTATACCAATGTAATAAATAATTCGCATCAAATAGGTATTGACTCAAATGGTAAAGTCATATATCTTGGTGTAAATAATAGGAATGACCTACAACAAAGTTAAGACTAAGAGAAATGTTAGATATGTGCAATTGTATGCATGCCATCATCATGTTACAGGACATTTGTGCTTTGATTCTTATAACAGGAAAAACATTGACGTGCTTGATCATGTACAGACAGAAATATAGCACCAAGATGAACATGCTCTGAGACATCATGGGTTCTCGAATGGACTGGTTGCTGTATTTCTTCGAGAACCTGGTAGTCTCCAATTATGTGGATGCTTAATAAAGAGTTCTTCTAATCCCACTACTTGAATCTTGGGATCCTAACCTTGAATAGAATCCTTAATCCTTCCTTCACATGCTTTATCGATACTACTACGAGTGCATTAGATTGGTCCTGACGTTTATTGTTGCCCCCCAAGAAGCAGTGGCAGCCCAAGACTAACTTCTACGAGAGCCAATAAGAAAAACTTTAGAAGCTTTTGGGTGAACCGTAGACCCCTTCTAGAGGCATGGGCCACCATGTGGGCGCATTAGATTGGGATAGCATGAGATATTTAATATTGGTAAGATTTTCAGTTGTCAGTTTCCTATTTTGTTGGTTTCTCTTTTTTTGCTTAGCGGAAAAATCATGGGATCATGAGCCAATTGGGAGTGGGGGGATCGTGAAGGCGAGAAGATCCCTATGTTTTGGAGCATTGTCTGCATAATTTATATGTCAGGGATCAATACTTAACTTTTAGGTGTCTCAATCACATCCTTTTGGTGATCTTGCTCCCGATCTTAAAGGCTTAAACATATATATTCTTTAAAGTTGGGATTCTCTTTGTTCATAATGACCAAACAATACAACTATTTTAAAAGTATAGTTAAGTTGCTAGCTGGCTTAAAAAATCATCATTTTAGTCGTTATCTTGGTCTTTAAGATGGGGTTAGATATACCTAACATGGGGATCGAGATCTCAAAATTTAAAAATTGGGATCCTTTGAATTTCTTTCCTGAAATGCTGGAGCAAGATTCCATAGCAGGATGGCATCTAGTTAGGACTTTGGAGATCCTAGCAATTACGGGAAATATAGGTTTCGGAATTTGGAAGAGAGAGTTATTAGGATAGATCTAGAGATTACATAGCCTACAAGTTAAGCAATATTTTGGGGTCTTAACCACCATAAATAAAGGTGTATGGCCTTCGGCTAGTCATCTGTGAATTGGGATTTAAAACAAATAAAATGAATTTAGTTTTCAGAATTAGTGCAAAGATCCCTGTTTAAGGAGAGAGTCCTCAAACATCTTTGATTGTGAGTTGCTTCAACTCTAAATCTAGGTTGGTAATCATCTTTCAAGAGAGGTAGGGCATTCTTTGAACCATGCTACGCCTATCTCCTTCTTCATCCATCTGTCCCTAACCTGCACACTACCTTCTCTTGCCCATCTTTCCCTACAAACCATGTCCAACTCAACCTCCAACTTCAAAACCTCTCTATCTACTTGCAACACTCAAACCTCCTCAAGCTTTTTCCTTCATCCCAAGAACCCAACCAAAACCTAAGGTTTGAACCTTCTTTAATTTCAACCAATCCCTTCCTAAATTCACCAAGTCATGCAAGAGAAACATGTCTCATGGTAGACACACAGCAGATTTTTCTTTTTTCCCCCCCATTTTTATATACTTATTGGTGTATAAACATTTAATTTTACTTATATATTATATGGGGATAGGCAAAACTTGGTAATGAGTAGTAACAACATCTGAATAAGAAAAAATTGGTATATTAAATGCCGTTGAAAAAATTACATTTAAATTTCAAGATAGGCATGCCTCACAACGGAGAGACCGTGTCTTAGTCTCACAACTTAGAAACGCTTGCCTTACCACTGAAATACATAGTCTAAAATTGAAACACCAGTGTCTTCTGGTTGTGGCACCTGTTTCTTTCATCTAAGTAGGACACCTGTGGTTTACACAGACACAACATGTTGGGACATGCATAAAAAAAAAAACACAAAACCGGCCCGAAAATGCATGACCCAATACCACATGTCATGTTGGCTATGTTGATAGGCCTGTCTGAAATCGTGTTTGTGCTTGACACACTTAAATGTGTTTGACATGTGTTTTGTTGTTACATTAAGAGGAACGAAATATTAGCCATTTACACGAATTTGGGGTATGGGAAATTCGGAGCATGTAGACAAATTTAACCCATCATCATCATACGAGTCTTATCCCAATTATTTAGGGTTGGCTACATGAATCCTGTTCTTCTTTATCATGCACCACACCCTCAGTCAGACCATAAGTCATTATATCTCTTCTTGCTACTTCCATCCCATAGTTATTGAGAACCGGAGTAGGAACGGCTCTGGGATAGGGAACGAATTCTCGGATTGACATGGGTCAAGAGTTTTGGTAGTCCGGGATCGATATCCATACAACGTATCTAGCTTGGAGATTGATCCCATATAGAAAGGATCCCGGTCCCAATGCTCATGGGATCTGGATCCCATTTCACAAGGGCCGCCTTTCCCACTTTTCATGGGATCTAGATCATGAATATACAGGGACCGTGATCCATATAAATTGGGGTCCTTAATCCATGAAGGATCGCAGTTCCAATGCTCATGCAAACTAGATCCCAATTGCGCAACAGATGGGGTTCCCTCTTCCCATTGTGTTAAATACTTTCATCATCATCATCATCTTTGTGTTAAATGCTTTATTATTTTAATTCTTGATACGGTTAATACATTTTACAAATCCAGCCTAATACTCTATAATCCACAATCTATATATATCAATTGAAATATTTTAGTTCTTTATGTTTGGGATCACTATATAATATGGATGGAGTTCTAGAATATAGTGTTCGAGATGCTTGAATTAGGGGATCGAGATTCCAACATGATAGGGATCAAGTTCCACAAATAGAGGGATTGAGCTCCCTCATTAAGGGGATCAGATCCGTACTAATAAGGGGTCGAGATTCCTAGAAAAAGAAATGAGCTCTGTAAAGAAAGCAAAAAAGAGCTTCGGTTGAGATCCTCGCTTTGGAGCATGGTATCTGGATTCTGGTGCTGGAACCATGCCCTTTAGGTGCGCTTCCGGTAACTAAGTTGCATCCATGTCCTTTGGACCTTCCCCTTGCCCTTTTAGAGCCTTCCACTTGGACCAAATCGCCCTCTTTGGAGTATGGGATCTGGATTTCGGAGCTGGAACCATGCCCTTTAGGGGCACTTCTGGTAACCCATCCATGTCCGAACCTTCCCCTTGCCCTTTTAGAGCCTTCCACTTGGACCAAATCCCCCTCTTAAACGATGTTGTTCTAGGTCGAGGATTTACATGACCAGCCCACCTAAGTCTACTTTCCCTTATCTTGTCAAATAAAATACTAAAACACTTAGATATACCTCTAGAAGTTGAAAATAATTTTTCTAAAGTAAATAAAATAAAGTTGAAAATAATTTTTCTAAACTTCTTGAGAAATACTAAAACACTTAGATATACCTCTAGAAGTGGCTAAGTATCAATGGGTCAAAAAAGTGACTATCAGAGCACTCCAGTTATATCAGGATCCGTTATCCACAACTATCTTCTCAAACCAACCCAACAGGACCCATGACCCATTGTCAGTATAGGGGCTATTGATTGGCCCATCAAAGTTGGTCAATAAATAGCAGAACTACGGTCCCAGTATGTGGATTACATGTTTCCCTTAAGAGCAAGTCACATGCACATATCACTATAGTGCAAGGGGGACTCTCTTTATGTGCTTGTACATGTATCCCGCTATAAGGTTATTTTCCAGAGTGTGGCTGTCATATGTACATGCCGTGTAAGAGTTTGTTGAGGATTTGACCTTCTCTCTCACAAGCCTGCAACCACACACAGGTGACTACAAGTCTCTCTAGGCCTGCAGAAAGTTGTCTTGGGCATTTCTTCAACCTCAATAAGAGATGACCTGTGTAAAATCCTCAATGATAGTATTTATGCCCAAGGGAAAAGGGTTTGATATGACTTGGGTCATAAACCACCTAACCCTAGGTAAGTTAACCAGCATACATTCCCTATTGAAGTGTGTAATTTACTGTATTTATTATGTTTATATGCTCTCACAGGCTTTAAAGGCCACAAAACCTCAACATGTATTTTGTAACCTGTGAGAAGCTCTTTAGAAGAGTAGGCCCCCACTCTAGCCCAAGGTCACATCTGTGTTCGTGTAAGTAGCATGCTTCAAGCAATCGAGTTGTAGACTTGTGTTATGGAAATCCCTTGTGCCTTCTTATGCCATCTAATTGTTGGTACGATTGACTGTGGAAAGCTTTCTTTCAACCACCGAATCCCCACCAAATTGAGAACATCCTAAACAGATACATACTAGGCAATCCATTTTATATACCTGTACTTGGTCTAGCTCCAACACCAACTATTCATAATCATTGGAGTAAATAATGCACATCCATAAACATGTCTAAAAAAAATAATGCACCGAAATTTGGAATAAAACAAGTTCTCCTATGATTAACTTCAACTTGTTCAAAATCAACTCGTTCAAAATCTGAGTGCATAGCAGAGAAGAAATGAAAAATCAAAAGCAAATGCCTTTGAAAGCCCCATACTTATACAAAAACCATGCACATGATAACACATGTATTATGATAGTGCATAGAGTAGTTTTCCTCCAATATCATCTTAAGCATTCAGATGCTAGGGTGCTCAAGGAATCTTGTTGTCTTAATGGAAATATTCAGTTTATATTTGATAAAATTTACTCCTTAAAGATCTTTGTTTATTGTAACTATGTTGCTTGACAAAGGAAATGAATATAAGGCACTTCTATTTACCTATACTGGAAACTAATTCTGGATATAATGTCAGGTCTTTCTGTATAACATAGTCATGGTTTCACTATTGTTGTTTTATTTAATTTATGTTTGGTCCTATTCTTCATGAATCTTTGTTTATGCTATGATGTCGCGATTTCTAATGGAGATATCCTCCTTTTATACTTTCATTTTGTGTTTTTAGTTTTGTAAATCAAGTCGCACATCTTAATTTATTTGTGCTCTAGGTCTCTCCAACAAAACATAGAGGCTCCTTGGGTACTCTATGTCAAATTGGAACTTGCTTAGGATTGATTGCTTCACTTCTTCTTGGAATTCCATCTGACAATGATCCACATTGGTAAAATCTCTATTTCATGGAGTTTCATTTCTGAAGCTTAGGTTGTCAGTTAAGTTGGACTTCTATGATGGAAGATTTAGGTATGTATGAGAGGAACTATTTTTTGTGCATGTTCAAAATTTATGTCTTACCTATATTACTGGATGACTTCCGATTTTCTGATGCTTACTTTTTGTTCCAGTATAGTTCTGAGAGATTTTTCTATGAATTTCAAGAGATATTCATAGAGTATAAAATTTTACTCTATGTGGCTAGAAACTGTCAAGGAATATCTTGTCTTGTACAATTTATGTTCTGTCTTTTGTTCTATGCTATAGTTGAGGTTGATAGTTCTGGTATAGTTCTCTACTACTAAAAAAAAAAAATATTGCTGACTTTAGTGAATTTCAAATGAATAATAAATACAAAGTAAAAAACATGCAAATCTGAGATTTTTGGTGTCTGTTGAAGAAGCAAGCATATGATTTGATGAAGAACACA